GATAGGGATGAAATCGTTTAGGGATGAACGAATTTAAGAGTTTTAGCCAAATGTTTTATAAGATAGTGTAGATTATGTTTATCTGCAGTTAGTTATACAAATTCAAATATGAAGCTTTAATAAGTTGTACTTATGTTTAATCAACTTGTAACCTTGAATTTTAAGTGATATGCATTAAGGGGCTGTTTGATAGTTGTTGAATGGTTTGGTGCAGAATGATTAAGTGGTCAGAATGATAAAGAGACTCTCCTGAAATATTGCAAAATGAAATATAATTATTTTATAATTGTTTACAATGAAATTAGAGAGTTTAATGGTTAAGGGAAACTCGTGATAAAAAAATCATTCAGAGGGTTTTAAAACCATTAAGAAACAATTTTTTTTTGCCAAACAAGATTCATATATTGCCTCTTAATGAAACTATTAAAAGGTAAACAAACAACACATAATAAAGATACTTGATGTATACAAAGTAGTTTAGTCTGGATGCTTTATAATATAATATAGATTACATAACAGGTCCCTAAGTGCGTTTGGTAGGCAGAACATGATGGGACAGGACAGGACAGAACACATATGTCCCATGTTTGGTGTGGTTTTATGTGGGACTAAGTGGAACAAGGTGGAACACGCGTGGGACAAGGTAGTCCATCCTTCCCCCATGGAACTAACTAGAACAAGAAATTATTGACCTCTCTACCCTCTCAAAACCTTCATCATCGTGCCCTTCTTCCACCATCTTCCACCGTCTCCTTCATCATCGGCGGACAGAATCGTTCCCCTTCATCATGAACTCGACAGCCCCAATCGTTCTCCTTCACAATCGTTCGACAGCCCCAATCGTTCGACTTCACAATCGTTCTCCTTCATCAATCGTTCGACAGCCCCAATTGTTCTCCTTCACAACCGTTCTCCTTCATCATCGATGGACATAATCGTTCCCCTTCACAACCGTTCTCCTTCACAATCGTTCTCCTTCGTCAATCATCCGACAGCCCAATAGTTCTCCTTCATCACGAACTCGACAGCCCCAATTGTTCTCAGGTAATCGATCTCTCCTCTCCTTCATTAAAGATGTTATCACACTTCGATTCGTGAAAGCTTACTGTATTCAAGCATACTGTTTGCATTTTCTTAATTATATTCAAGCTTGCTGTATCACACTTCGATTAATGCCATTATAGATAAATATAAATTTCTTTTGAAGTATTTGAGTTCCTAAGCATGCTGTTTGCATTTCCTTTTTGAAGTATTTGAGACTTGTTTCTATCGATTGAAGTATTTTAGGGTTTAGAATTCGATGTATTTGAGACCTGTTTCTATCGATTGAAGTATTTTAGGGTTTAGAATCCGATGTCGTCTTCTCAAGTGGGTTCAGGAGTATGGTAGATTAATTTGATCATGGTGGTTAGAATTATAGGATTGACTCACTGGGGGTAAATTGGTCATTTTAACCCGTTCTGTCCAGTCCTATCATGTCTTACCAAACGCTGAACAGCTGTCCTGTCCTGTCCTGTCCTGTCCCGTCCCGTCCTGTCCTGTCTGCGTACCAAACGCACGGTTTGATGGTTTTTGTAAAAACAAGAAACACCCCTTGTTATATTGGACTTAGTGAAAAAAGTTAATGATCGTTAGAGGAGAGATGAAATCTAGGGGTGAGCAGCGGAACCGGGTACCCGGCTATAGAACTGGAACCGCCTTGGAACCGTCGGTTCCAGAACCGGAACCGATATGAGTGGTTCCGGTTCCTAAAATACGGAACCGATTGAGAATGGTTCCGGTTCTCAATTTTTCGGAACCGTTACCCGCCGGGTACCCGGTATTTTTCAATAAAAAAAAATAATTATTTTTTAATACCAAATTTATATTAGGTTTACATATTAAAAGCACGTCGTCATCTTCAATCTTCATCTAAATTCTTCATATAAAATGATTCGTATTTTTTCAAATTGTGTGTTCACTTGGATTCATAGTATGTAATTGTTAAACTTTGTTAAACTTTGAACAATTACCATTATAATATGTAATCGTTAAACTTTGAACATTTTCTATTAGTCTATTATGGTTTGTAATCGTTAATCAATATTTGTAACCATTATTCTGTATAATTTGTATTCTTGCTTATTTATTTAGTGTTTTGACAATGTTTTATTTTTTATTTCTAAATAACAAAATTTTAATATTTTAAGAAGCGGGTACCCAGAACCGGAACCGGTTCCCGGCGGTTCCGGTTCCAAAAATTTAAGAACCGCTCTAACCGGTTCCGGTTCCAATATCTCAAGAACCGCCGGTTTCGATTCCGGTTCCTGTCAAAAAGGGCGGGTACCCGCCTATGCTCACCCCTAATGAAATCCGTTAGAAATCGACAAACGTGAGGGACAAATCTATTAAAACAAAGTGAAGGGACTAAAAACGTTAGAAGTGACAAACTTTAGGGAACAAAAGTGAACTTCACTCCAATAAAGTTGATAGATTACTGGGCTTCGAGTTGCCGTCGTGCTCTGCGTTTGCTCATACATGGCTTTCCTCCTCTGCGTTTCCACCTCCTCGCCGGCCTTCAACAACAAGAAGGTACAATCTCCTTTACCCTTCCTAATTTCAATACAAATTTGATTTCGTTTTGTTAGAACGAGACTTCAATTGAATTTCTAGTCGATTTTAGAATTCAGTTGTTTAGTGATCAGACACCTCGGCACCACATTCTCACCAAGGATCTGCATTGGGGTTTTCATCTTCAAATAAAGCATTTTTTTGATCTTGAAAACAAATGTTGATGCTAACTGTTGTAGCACTTTCGATTGAACTCCAATGATGCTTCAAGACTTGCAATTAATGGTTATGATAGTGGTGATCCCCTTTTATCCACTTAAAGAGAGAGAGAGAGAGAGAGAGAGAGAGAGAGAGAGAGAGAGAGAGAGAGAGAGAGTGTTATAAGAGATCACCAAGTTAAGTGTTTAGGCAGTGTAGAGAAGAGTCTAGTTTACCCTAGGTTCATGACTCATGTATTCGTAGGTCAAGTGTAGATCCCTCAAGACAATTAGGATTTTGGTCTTTCTGGATAACTTCTTCCAGCAAAGTCTGCTCCCTGTTGCACTCTAATTTACACACCTAGAAGATTTCCAGTGCTAAATTCATCATACCTGCAAACTTTGTTGTTGCTAGTAGGCTTTGTTTTTCCCCCAGAGAAAGTACCGCACGTATGTGATATGCTGCGAATACATATTTGAGACTAAAAGTCGGATGTGCTGTTGAATTTGTAGTCAAAAGGAACATTTGGTCTATGGACCTCGAACTGCAATTGTAATTTGATATATAGGAGAGAACCTTGACTGTAGCAAACATTGTAACCTTGAATAAATCAGTCATTCTTATGCTTCATCCTTTATCATAAAAATGGTATACGTTAAGGTTTAAGTTCAACCTAGGGGTGAGCATAGGCGGGTACCTGCCCTTTTTGACCGGAACCGGAACCAGAACCGACGGTTCTTGAGATATTGGAACCGGAATCGGAACCGGTTAGAGCGGTTCTTGAATTTTTGGAACCGGAACCGGAACCGGCGGGAACTGGTTCCGGTTCCGGGTACCCGCTTCTTAAAATATTAAAATTTTGTTATTTAGAAATAAAAAATAAAATATTGCCAAAACACTAAATTAAATAAACAAGAATACAAATTATACGGAATAATGGTTACAAATATTGTTTAACGATTACAAATCATAATAGACTAATAAAAAATGTTCAAAGTTTAACGATCACATACTATAATTGTAAATGTTCAAAGCTTAACGATTACATACTACGAACTGTAGTTTAGTAGAACTAGAAAGTAGATGAAGAATGAAGATGACCGCGTCCTTTGAAGATGTAACCTAATATAAGTTTGGTATTAATAAAATTTAATTATTTTCTTATTGAAAAACACCGGGTACCCGCCAGGAGCGGTTCGTAACGGTTCCGAAACATTGAGAACCGGAACCGGAACCGTTCTCAATCGGTTCCGTATTTTAGGAACCGGAACCAGAACCAGAACCACTCATATCGATTCCGGTTCCGGAACCGTCGGTTCCAAGACGGTTCCGGTTCTGCAAACGGGTACCCGGTTCCGCTGCTCACCCCTAGGTTCAACCTACTGCTCTAGAAAAATTGAATCAACGTGTCATGATTTAGCGCCAACATGTGGGTATTTATGGTTTGTGTTACGAACTTGAATTATCATTTTTTTTCAAATGTTAAAGAATTCATATCAGTTTATAACTAAAAGTTATCTTGTAAGATTTCAAAAGCACCAGTTTAGTTTATCCTTTTGGAAAGAGGAACTACTGAATCATTTTATTTGAAAAATTAGGAGTTTTATCATAATATTTAAAGTGTATATCTACCTTAGATATGTTTCCCATCTCTTAGAGATTGAAGAAATTTATATTGTCAAAATGAGATATGGTGTGTTTCATTATCAAAGGTGAAAGCAGCACCCTTTATCATTTATTATACAGAGGTTGGATATAGATGATCAGTATATAAAGATAATATATTTTTGCGTTCGTTTGTGAATTAATCTCAGACTCTTCCTACACTGAGCTCAAAGCGCATTTGTACGCAAGGGTGTTATCAACATAAATGTTTGAGTCTCAAGGCAATGCAAGAAGAAATGACATTCACCATGGTAAACGAGTCCGCTAAGCAAAGGATCCCACATGTTTTAACTGTAGCTGGCTCTGATTCTGGAGCTGGTGCAGGAATTCAAGCTGACCTTAAGGCTTGTGCTGCACGGGGAGTGTACTGTTCAACCGTGATTACTGCTGTTACTGCACAAAATACTATTGGGGTTCAGGTTTAACAACATAATCTTTATGTAGTTCTGTAATCACATGATGAGTATTGTAGTTCTAATTTTTAACTTCTTAGGATGTGAGCATCCTGCCAGAGGATTCTGTTGCTGAGCAGTTGAAATCCGTTCTATCAGATATGCATGTTGATGTTGTAAGTTAGTTACATGATATTATGTTTTATGTTTGCTTTCTTATATCTGGCTTGAGATTTTGTTTCTGCTTGAATTTGGTCTTATGTTGAATTAGTTATACTGTTGGCATTTGACTTGTGCTTTATTAAATGAATGATCACTGATTAGTGCTACTTGCTTTTGTTTGGAAACAGATCACATTTTAGCTTTTGAGGTCAATATTTTGAAATTAAAACAGACATGGATATCTTTACAAATCTAACATCAACATTTTCAGCTTGTAGTATATTTTGTGAAAGTATGACCTGGTTATCAAACTTTCTTGGAAACTTTATTGAGTTTCTACTGGTCTGAGATCAAAGATTATCCGGTCCGACTTCGACAGTCAAAGTCAAACTGCATATATTTTTTTTCTGGAATGGATGGTGTACTTATGGTTTGGGATACCTGTAAAGATTAGTATTTTGTAAAATACATATAGTATTATAACTTATATGATGGTTCATGGTCGATGACTGTTCCTTTTGGATAGGTAGGCAATGAAACCTCGTAACACATAAATATGACCTCAGTTTGGTTTGTGGTACAGAACAATCCTTGCCAGATGTGGTAATGAGATGCTGGTCGATGTCGGTTGCTCATAGACACAAACATTCCCACTGGCCACTGGTGGCTTATGACTCAGACATATCCAACAGGAAAACCAATTCAGTTATGTCTTAAGTACTGGGGGTTGGAATGCCACGAAAGCACAAGTTGATTGAAGTTATTGCAGCTAAACTTTCGTTGATCTATGTGTAATCATTGAAATAGGATGCAGATGAACTAACAAGCACTGGTATCTCTATAATGCAGTTCTTTCACACTACTATAGTATCAATGACATAGACTTTTATTTAACCTATTAGGAGATGAGTTGCCCTTTAATACTTTGAGAAACGGAAGCAATCATAGCTTGTTGAATTGCAAATCTTTTGCCTGATGCGGACCACCTCTGTGATAGGAGGGACACAACTGCAGCCAAAGAAACAACGTGTCTGTTAAGTTTAAGGGAAAGACTACTCACAGAGACTTCCCTCCCCAACCCTTTGGAAAATTTTGGAGCCTTGATGCACTATTGTTGTGCTTTCAACTGTTATTCCATAGGTTGTTGCATCTTATAACTGATGTTTTCACTACTTGATCTATTAGGTGATTACTTAGCAATCAAGAAGTTCTTATTGGGCTCTTGCACACTGTTAATTAATTGTTCTGTTACAATATTGAGTGTAATGTATTAATGATATCATCTTAGGTGAAAACTGGCATGCTTCCCTCAACCGCCATTGTCAAAATCCTTCATGAAAGCCTGAAACAATTCCCAGTTCGAGGTATGTTGTATTGTTTTAAATCAGATCCATCTAGCTTCTTAGTTGACTCGGTCTAGTTTTTGAAGGCAGCTTTAGTTGTTGATCCTGTAATGGTGTCTACTAGTGGAGTTGTGCTGGCTGGTCCTTCAGTTCTTGATACATTTAGGTAACACATTTTCTATTACATTGTATAACTTGGTATCTGTATTCCAAAAACTTGATGATACATACCTCCATGGCTCACCCTCTCAAAGTTCACACATACCATAAAATGAAACAAATGCTAGGAAACTAATATATTGTTTGGGTTTGGCATTAAAGCGACAAAGTATTCGGTTGAAGGAAATGTGTGTGGTTTTAGACTTCTATATAGAACTTGGGAAATTGTGGTCGACTCCACCTACATGTTACTCAGAATCAAGCTTTTCTACAATTTCCACTCATGAGCTTTCTCGTGAGCTCTTTTTTCTTGGGAAGATTTCAAAACCAAGCAGGCGGCAAGAATAATACTAGAACCTATAAAACATTTGTTCCCCTGTATTTGGCATTGTAGAAACAAAGCTTCCGGCCTTCTGCCTCCTGTGGAAATTCTTTCACGATGTCCAGCTCTTTCATTTTCACCAGCTCGTTCTTTACTAGCATCTAGGTGAACCAGCTGGGTTAAATCAACTCAAAGAAAGATCTCTAGGCAAAAACTAGGGGAGTGCTTACTGATAGCGAAAGGTTAACATCTTTCTGCCCTTTTTTGAAGTAGTGAACACCATCTACCTTGGTACTACATGATGAGAGGTTGGTAAAGGCGAATACATCAGGTAACTTCATACTGTAAAACGAGAGGTTGATAAAGGCAAATACATTAGGTAATCTCATATGTCGCTATTGGTGACTGAGTCCAGCACCAAGGATCCTGCTTGATTCTCCTTTTTCTTTGATTTCTATTCACACTTTGTCTTTAGTTAATTGTGGGAGTACTTGAAGAACTGCTGCAAGAAGAATGGTCATTTTTCAAATGCTTCTTTGCTACGTGTTTTGCTATCTTGCATGCCTATGTGGTCTTCATTGCATTTTATATTTGCTTAAACACAGTCTTTAGAAATGGTTTCACAGCTGATCAGGACCTTTTGAAATACTGGACGTTAGCTATGAAAGCTCATCATATTTGCTTTGAATTGTTTTGTACAACTGAGGAGGCCAAGCACACAATCTTTTTTGGATCTTATATTGTTTTTCTACTTGCAAGGATCCTTGTAGCAATGTCTTTCTTGTTAGCTTCTTTATTACTCCCATAAATGATGAAGTGATGTTCAAATCTTTTTTTTTATTACAGTATTCAGCTAGAGACTGCAACCCCGAACATATTTTTCTATGTATCAAAGGCCATAAAGGGGACTTCATTAAGTCAGGCTAAATGCTGATACAATGTATATGTAGAAACAACCCAGCCCAGATACGTAGAAAAAGTCTGGTCTGGTTTGGTAATAAATACGTTAAAAAGCCAGATATGGTCGAAGTACCATGAATAAAAGATGCTAGAAGATGCACACCTTTACTATTCTGAGATTAATTGCAATGATTCATAGAATGTTGAATGCTTTACTGAACAAACCAGCTTTTGGGAGGCTGGAACTCTGCCATGAGGCTCTTTCCTCAAAATCAAGAAAGTGAATAAATGCCTACTTCCCTGACCTATCATCTATTTACAGTTCGTAACAACTTCCTCTAATTAACTGACCCACTTTCCACCCTGACTCAATCATTTGTAACTGAATTATACTATTTACTAAACTACCCTTGACCTCCTCATTCTTTATTCCTCCTCATGTGCATGAATCTTACTGCTGCTCTATCAAATTGGAACCAGAGTGCACTACATATTAAGATCCATATAATTGTTATTAACAGCAATGCTGAGAACAGGAAAAAAATGAATGGACATGCACACATGTGATTCTGAGGGACGCGGACATATCACAGGTTCCCTTTCTCTTAGGGATCTTACTTCAATAAAGCTGATAAGATGTACTGGTTTGCATCTTAGAGCATGACAAGTAGTTTAGACAGCTTTTTGTTTAAAATATATATCTTGGGAGTCGTGATGTGGTACTTTAGAAAGTGCTAGGCAGTTAACTGGATGCCTAGTGCTCATTTGGTTAACTGGGATTAAGCGGTCCACTTTTAATGTATAAAATAAGCTTTAATATCTTGAGCTACCTATTTGTCTATTGAATTCTATGTGGCAGCCAAAGCCTGTTAAGATTTAATGGTTCAAGATGGATGCTTGCTGCAGAGGCAATTCTTTGGGCAACCTTTGTTAGAAAGTTTTTGTGGTTTCATATTGTTATTCTCCTTGTGAACTTGACTTATGCTTTAAGGATAGAAGTTTGCTCGGAATTGTCTTTTTCTTTTTATAAATTCCTGTGAAGTTTTTTAGCTCATTCCTTGCATCCATTTGCTATCTGAAGTATCAGAAAACATTCATGGTTTCTGACTGGTTTGTTTATATTTCTTATTGCAGGTGGGACCTTCTTCCTATGGCTGACATTGTGACTCCGAACTTAAAAGAGGCTTCTACTTTACTTGGATGGTCGCAATTGGAAACGATTACGGACATGTGCTCTGCTGCGAAGTCTATACATAATATGGGACCACGGTAGTTTCTGAGACAAGTATTGTAGTTCACTTCTATATCCCATTGCTTATCAAGGGCACTTGCAGTCAACAGTAGGGATATGTTAAGCAAGGCAAAGTAAATACTGATTCAATTGTTTTTTCTTTTTTGCTTCCAGAAATGTGCTTGTGAAGGGTGGTCACCTACCTTCTTCATCAGATGCTGTTGATATTTTCTTCGATGGTATGCATCTGACCGTGTTAAGAAATTTTGGTTAAGCACTGTGCTATGAATTCTGTATCCAAAAAGTAATGACACTACTTTATTTTCTTTCTGTATACACTTTTAGTCGAGTTTTCCTTCTTCCTTTTTATCTACGTATATTTTATTTATGTGGTGGAGTTGGATGCTTTTGTACTGTACTTATGTGTTTGGTCTTGCAGGCGAAGATATCTATGAGCTGCGTTCTTCACGTATACAAACTCCAAATACTCATGGAACTGGTTGTACCTTGGCATCATGTATAGCAGCTGAACTAGCAAAGGGTTTTTCAATGCTATCGGCAGTTAAGGTAGTCAACTATATGCGGTGTTCAGTTAGTGAATAAATGTAGACCCAATACTGCCTTTCATAGTGGTCGCGTTCTTGTTCAAATTTCAAAAGCTTTGTGCAATTAAAAGCTAAAGTCTTTTCAATCAATTCAATAGTAGGAAGGATACATCTTACACTAAACCAAACCAACTAACTCGGTATATCCCACCCTAACATGGGGTCTGGGGGACTTGACCTCTACTCCAAAGAGTAGACTGGCTGATTCCATGAAGACCCTGAAATATTATAAATGATGCTGTTGAAGTGTGGAACACACATAATCAAGCATATAGCTTTGTGGTATTTGGCTCATCCCATAGGTGGTAATACCTTGGAGGTCATGGCTTCCAAACCATGTTTTCTCCTTGACTATTTAAAAAAGGGGAAAGAACAAAAATATTAGCATGCAACATTGTCTTCCAAAGGGCTATTGGCCCAAAGGTACCAGGTCACCGGTAAAACCCTAGTCTATCTTGGAGATGAACGGTTCAAGCCTCACCAAAGGTAAGGAATGTGCGTGAATATTTGCCGTATATAAATATTATATACTTAAAAAAACATTATCTAACTATGGAAAAAAGAGAACCCACCTCTAAAAGACATACCCTAGGATGAATTGCTTGATGAAGAACTTCAATGATTCGAAAAACATAGGATTGACACAAGCTTGAAAATACTATGGAGGATAGTCGCACCACAAATTTTATTATTTTGAATCAGGAAAAGGACTTCACATGTGTTCTATTGTTAATATTTTTTTCTTATAGAAACAATAATATCTTGTGAAGATAATATATGTGACATGTTTTGCTATTAGGTGAAATCACATAAGCCTTCAAATAAGATCCCTTAGCATTTTGATAGCGGAGAATGTGACTCCATCTTCCTTTCAATGATATAGGACATGATCCTAAAATTCTGAGCGATTCTCAATAATAATGAAATTTTGTTAAGGTAAGATCCTCATGAAATATGATTCTTAGTCCATGCTTATGGTCTAATAAGTTCTTAGGTTGTTTCCAATGGTGAGAACTCCATCATGTTTGTAATAAGGAACTATTTGTAAGGTATGCAATGTTTGAACAGTTCCTAAAAGTAGGAAAGATGCTCTTGCACAAGTGGATTCTTACAAAATAAATTATTACAAATAAACAAGCAAAATTGTACTCATTTAGCATGAGTCTGATACAGCTGCTATTCCTTTTTGCTTATCGTTTTGAGGTTCATTTGTAAGTGGATTATGTAGGTAGCAAAACGCTATGTTGAGTCTGTTCTCAAGTTCAGCAAAGACATTACTATTGGAGATGGACCTCAAGGTCCTTTAGATCACCTATTTAAGCTAAAGAGAAATGTCTACCATTCAAGGAAGCTGCGACCACTTGATCATGATGATCTCTTCCTATATGCTGTCACAGATTCAGGGATGAATAGAAAATGGGGCCATACAATCACAGATTCCGTTAGAGCCGCTATAGAAGGAGGTGCCACCATTGTGCAGCTGAGGTTTATCCCATTCTTAGTCTTTCGTTTCTGTTTTAGAAGGACAAAATGCATAAAAAATGCAACAAAGTTTGGTTTAGTTCCTATTTAATCTAACAAAGATTTTTTTCTCAATCGATGTGACAAAGTTTCCCATTTTTCTATTATGTACACTTTTGACTGCAAACTTATTGATCTTGTAGCATTTGATGACGTGGATACCTGTTTACGAAGTGTTCTTGAAATGTTTACAGAAGAGTTGAGGCAAAGTGGACAATAAACTTGACATCCACTTCATGGAATGTTAGATGATCGGCAGGTTACCGGTCAAAATGATTAAAAAATAGGATATTTTGAAACTTTGTTACACAACATAGGAATTTTTTGAAACTTCGTTACATTGATTGAGTAATTTTTTCTCTTTTTAACACTAAATAGGAACTAAAGCAAACTTTGTTGCATTTTGCCTATTTCAACATCATTTCACAATTGAAGTTCGATTGCATATGAACCTTCTATTCTATGTCTCAAAGGTTGATTTTTTGTAGGTGTTACAGTTAGCAATTGTAGTTCATATGTCCTTATTTTGTGTGCCCCCTCGTGCATGATTACAATTTGATAAGAGCAATGCTGAAATACATAAAACTGTGAAAATATTCATGTAGTTGCCTGAGATCTCATGGAGTCAAGCCATATTTTGTGCATATGCTTAAGGAATACTAAAAGATTTGAGAATATTTGAAGAGAAAATGGAGCCACGCAGCTGCACGTATCGTGCACAAAACAACATATTTTACCTTTTAAAGGCATAAGGTTATGGTCACATAGTGGCATAATGTTACGCTACTTGGTTGCAAAAACGCTATTGATGTTTAGGCGTAACTTTATGCCAATTAAGAGAACTTAATCATTGTTCAACATTTAGTAGTATCTGTTAAGATTTCGTTCATTATGAAGCTGTAATTTTCATCATCAATTTGTAGTTTTTAATCCCCGAATCCGTCGCTAAGTTGTAGTTTTCATCACCAATTTCATTTATGCCAGATGTTCTTCATGCTGTCGAAAATTTAATCGTAGCAAGGTGCCTTAATGCCAGTCTGGTGTTTAGACTACTTTGGACTCTTTATATCCTTTTAGTTCTTCTGTCCCAAATTAAAGGTCCACAATGAAAATGGGAACCAGTTTTAGAAATATGTAATTATTACACTTTTAATTAACTAAATGACAATTTTAGTCATAAAAATAGACAGAGTAATAAATTTTTCCATATCATAATTAAGCGATAGAATTGGAAAGTAGGCATTTACATCCGATTGTGTTTTTTTCAGGGAAAAAGACGCAGAGACAGGAAGCTTCCTCGAGGCAGCCAAAGAATGTCTCGTGATTTGCCGTCACCATAACGTCCCACTTCTTATAAATGACAGAATTGACATAGCCATTGCATGTGATGCGGATGGAGTCCATGTGGGCCAATCTGACATGCCTGTCCAGACCGCCCGATCTCTTCTTGGACCCGAAAAGATCATCGGTGTATCATGCAAGACACCAGAACAAGCTCTGAAAGCATGGACCGATGGAGCCGACTACATAGGGTCAGGTGGTGTGTTCCCAACCAATACAAAAGCAAACAATCGAACCATAGGTTTGGACGGCCTGAAAACCGTATGCTCGGCTTCCAAGTTACCCGTGGTCGCCATTGGTGGAATCAATCTTTCGAACGCAAGATCCGTTATGGAATTAGATGTCCCTAATCTGAAAGGCGTTGCAGTTGTTTCTGCCCTTTTTGATCGGGAATGTGTTCGGACCGAGACCGAGAAGCTGCATGCTCTGTTGGCTGAAACTGTTGCGCAGACAAAAAATAAGAAAACACAAGATGAAGTTCCCTTCACAGGTACAGAAGAAGAGCAGTTTCTTTAGTGTCAAATTACAATCATATAACCAAAGGGTCTGTTGGCCCTGAGCCCAACCTCCCTTGAAGTCGAGGGTTTAAGCCTTGTTAAAAATGTGAGGAGTATGTGTGAGTTTTTCCCATCAGTATTTGTGATGAAGCCTCACCAAAAGCGAGGAGTCTTTATTAATTTTGCAGTATATTACAATCATGTAACCCACTGGGTAACTTGTGGAGCCCGACCTCCTTGGAGGTCGAGGGTTTAAGCTAGAGTTTTGCTGTATATAAATATTATATGCTTTGCAAAAATTAACAATCTTGTATGTAGGTGAAGAGAAGTGTCACGGGTTCGAGTCACAAACACAACTTTTGTGCGAAATTGAGGAGATGTGATGCGTGTCACTTGCAAGGTTTTGTCGTACATGGTCTTTGATCTTATTATGTCCGGAGGAATGGTGGGCTGGTTTCTTGCAGTCACAATTTACCGGCATTAGTCTAGGTATAACCTGTGACATCCTTCCAAAAAAAACGTGTTACGTTGTATTTAAGCTTCTATTCGTAACGCCAATTTGACGTTTTTGTTACATGGGTGTGATTATTTATATGATGTTCCATCAACAATCAGCATGTGGTGCATAAAAATGATGTTATTTTGTGATCATTTGAAAAAGTAGACTCACTAATCTTGGTGACGTTAGGGATTGTCTTGCAAACATTGAAAAACTATTGGTTTGGATCTAATGGTCAAAAGTATCAGGAGGTCTCAAGTTTAAATACAAGGAGGAATAAAAACCCCTTTGTGGCCACGGAGGTTCAAATGCGGTGACTCCGGGCTATCTGCAAAGCAAATGGTCTCCCTGGGATTAATCGGCTCACATAGCGGGTTGAATATCCAGGTTAATAATAAAAATTGAAAAACTATTTGAAATATAGTAAATTAATAAACTTAATGTTTGGTTATTTTCTAGTTAATAACGTGATTAATTTATCAGCTAACTTATTAGTCAACAATTAGTTTATTGGCTAGTTTGTCAAACATAGCTTTAGTATATACTCTATAGGAGTGAGCATCAGAACTGAATACCTACTTTTTGAAACAGGAACCGCTATGGAATTGCTGGTTCCTAAATCGATTTCTACACTCAATAGGTACAATAGGTTTTTTTTTGTTCATGGGTACCATGGGTTTGATTTAGTAGGTTTTTTTTATTCATGGATGCCATGAATTTGATTTAGGGGGTGTTTGGGATTGCTTATAGAAATAACTTATTGACTTATTCCAGTGTGACACAGATAATAAACACTTTTGAGTGTTTGGATAAACAACTTATACCGGTGTCAAACCGGTAATAAGAAGTTTTTAAAGAAAATTCTTCTGGCTTATAATAAGTTGATAAGTGTTTTTATAGAAAAACATAAGACGTTTCAAATAAGCAATTCCAAACACCCCCTTAGTAGGTTTTTTTTGTTCATTAGTAATGTTTTCTTTACGTTGGTGTTTTATAGTATTTATTTCTTTACATTGTATTATTTTTCATGGTTTGTAGTATTTATTTCTTTACGTTGGTGCTTTGTAATATTTATTTCTTTACGTTGGTGCTTTGTAATATTTATTTCTTTACGTTGGTGTTTTGTAACAGATTAATAGTTACTTTTCTCGTAGTATGAAATGATAAAATTTAAAAAAAAAATTAGACACCCGGTACCTGGTAACTGAATCCTTCATTCTAGGAACCGCCGGTTCCAAGCTACTATTTGCAGTGAATCCCCCTGTTAGGCAGTTATGCATTACGATAGGAACTCCCAATTCTCTGGTTCCGGGACCAGTTCAGTTACATGAATTTTGGCCAGATACCCGTCTTTTCTCACCCCTATAACAATCTATGTCGATAAATGAAAATTAAAGTATATTGTTATTTTACGTAAAATGCTGATAATTTATTGCCTAAAAATGATATAGCATATTGTTATTTTTGAATAAAAGATATACCTTGTCTAGAATAAAATTAGTTTAAAAAACGTTGTTATTTTCTGCAATCAATCATGATTCATTTTGTCTCATCATCGAAATGACCCCATGATAATGAAATTAAAAGATTGCACTAAATCGAATATCACGAAGAATCGAGACCACTTCCACAACATGTCTACACAACTACCACATCAATCAAGAAGTGCGAAAAAAATGTAAGAATTACTTTCACACGTTTATTAAACATATGACTTTTTATTTAACTGTATACATCCAAACTATTAGAAAAAGGACCCTCGTTTAGTTAAGTTGCTTAGGGGTTCACCGGATGACTCAATCCAACGACAAGAACGTGAAAACACGTTACGACCTCAAGGCATGTGGCACAACTCGCACACGAATCCTCGTGCATCAAATACTCCAGGGTCTCGTTTGGTTTGTAAAATTGGATTGAATCTATAATTGAATTCCATTTTAATTCCATGTTTGGTTTGAAAGATTTCTATGGATTTCAAAATCTTAGGATTTCAATGAAATCCCACGAGGTGGTTGATATTTCACAGGATTTCGTTGGGTTTTTATATAATAATTTTTTTTAAAATATACTAAATACATTTTTTTTGTAACTAGAAGAGTACTCGCGCAATGCAGCAAGACACATCTCGATTTTAATGTTCTATTTTGCTATTTGTCTATGTCGATGTTATAATACGATTTTATGTGTTTTTAAGAAAGCAATAATAATTTTATTTTTGAATAAAATATAAATTTGAAGATATCATAAAAATTTGAAAAAAAAAATATCAATGTTAATATCAAAATCAACTATTTAAAAGTTCTCATTTTTTATGTAATTGCTTTCTTTAATTAATTAATTTTATTATAATTTAATTGAAGTTTAATAACGGAATAATTTATTTTTAGTTTAATAATATAACATTTTATAAAAATAATAATTAAGTATTCTGTT